GTCTTCCCTGGCGGCAAACAACCTCCTCCTGGGCCTGCGAGGGCAGCCGATGATCAAAGAGCTCAAGCTTTAAGAAGAAACAGCTTCCACTCTGAAAAAATGATCAAATAGTGGATGATTAGTTCTACTTACTGTTCAAAATATATTTTGCTGACTGAAGTAAATCCATGCAGTGTTGCAACTGTCTCCTTTTTCTTTAGTCTTCAGTTTCACATTTTTTAGGTTGGGATTCTAGAGTGCTGTGAAAAAGTTTTTGCCCCCTTTCTGATTTTGAAATTATATGGAAAAAAATAAGTGATTCAAACCTAGCAGGCCCTGGGTGGAAAAAGTGATTGCTCCGATAAACCTAGGAACTGGTTTCCCACCCTTGGCAGCAAGAACTGCAAAAAGATTTTTACGCATCTCTGTGGAGGAATTTCGGCTCATTCCTCTTTGCAGAATTGTTTTATTTCAGCCACAATGGACGGTTGGCGCATGAACAACCTGGTTCAGATCATTGTACTGCTGCACAACTCAAGCGTGGGGAAAAGCTGATGGCCGGACATTCTCCTTCAGGATTCGGGATCAAGCATGAGAAATGGCTCTGTAACTCTTTCCACTCTGATAGGTGTCAGTGACATTGCTTCTCAGCTGCTCATTGCATGTTGCGTTGCTTTTTGAGAACTTTTAGCTTAGTTAGCTTTGTCAGACAGCTTCTATGTTAGCAATTTCTTGAATCAACGGTCTCGCAGTAATCAGGCCTGAGTGTGGATACGGAAATTGAACTCAGCTTTCCCCAAAAGTGTGGTTAATCACAGTTATCTCTTAATTTAACAAACAAAAAACAATTTTGTATTTACTCAGGTTATTTTGTCTTATGTTAGAATTAGTTTGATGATCTAACACACATGTGATAAATATTTAAAAATACGAAATCAGGAAGGGGGCCAAGGCTTTTTCACAGCACTGTATATGATAAGAAAGTTGCATGCAAACTGAATTTCATAGCATTTTTATTCAGCCTATACAACACCTGAACATACTATACAATCTTCAAAGTCCTCAACAGTAAAGAGACAAACATTTAGCCACCTCATTGTTACACTACGGACGGTATACAGAAAAAAACAAACAAAAAACAAACTAACACCCCCCCAAACCTTTCAATTTTGGCATATCAATAAAAGCCCGGCTTTACAAGCTAGAGGGCATAAGGCAGTGACTTTAATAATCAATTCAGACTTTTATACACATTTCTTTCTAAGAAATCAAACATCTTCATACAGAGGGTAGTTCAGTCAGTGCAGTTTTAATAATAATTTAATAATTAATACAACAGCTGTAGAAGACAGCACCTAACCTGCTTGTGTGACATGTAAACAGTCAAACCTTTGCCTGATCCCATATCTACCTTTGTATTTTTCAAAAGCCTGCTACAGCTACCTCGCTTCATGACGAGAGAAGCAGCTGAATGTGAGTGAGAGTCAGAGCAACAGACTAAATTTTAGTCAGATTAAAGACTAAACCGTCACTGGTCATTTTAAATGACTTTAATAGAGTTCTGAATTAAATTTACAGGGAAAATAACTTTAAATAACTTTTTTTTTTCCTTTTTAAAAAGTGTCATTTTGTAAAGGGCTAAAACAGTGTGATGACTCTACAGTACAATAAGGTGCCAACTAGGATTGAAAGCAATGATCCTGTCTCACTGACAGCAAGTGTCACAATACACCAATCATTAAAGTATACAAAAAGCAAACATGTTAATTAATGTGTTATTTTTTTCCATTCCAGTTCACTAAAACAGAACTCTACAACACAGCACTGTTTCAAAAAACATACTGCCATCCAGAGAGGCTGTTTTTACAGAAAACCTTCATGTGATATTATTTTTGTAAATCCTGTCTATACTTTTTTTTTTTTAAGCGTACACATCCTCAGTTGTAACATAGTTGTCTTGTAACTTACAGCATTCCCCAACATTTATCAAGTTACATTAAAATACAGCTACATAAAACACAAAATTTCTTGTAATTAACAAAAAATGAAAACATTAAAATCTTTTTTTTTAAAATTATTTTCTCCATGTGAAATATTCCTTTAGTGATGTTACATTTTTCTAGTCTAGTGGAACTTTGTTTTCATTTCCAGCACAACAGAATAACAAAGGAAGATCGTAAGAGCTGGGTGAGCCGGATGGTTGGATTACAATGAAGATGTCGTCACATAGTTCAACATTCCAGTAAACATTATTAGCTGTAAAAAAAAAAAAAAGAGACTGATTTGTCTCAGTGTTTTTGTATCAGGCGCAACATTATATGTAAAGAGACACGTATAAAGCACTCATATCAAGTACAGTAGCAAACATACACGCAGTGTTTACATCTTTAGGAGTTGTTTTGTCTCCTCTCCAAAAGACTTACCAGAAATGTGCAATACAGTATTTACAGGTCTAAATATTTTTTTTCCCTCCAACACATGCTGAACTCGTCACTGAAACTTCGCCGTCCTTTCAATAAACGCACAACACAGAGGAGCTACGGCTTAAAGTCACGTAGTGCCATATCTTTTACAATCACAATAAACTGTTTTATGAATTTAGACAGAAAAAATGCATTTGTTTTTCTTTTTAAAACATTTCTCCTGATTGCCGTAATAGTTTTACGTCAGTAAACAATGAAACTTCACTCTAAGGTAAACAGCTGTGGTGGAAAGGTAATCAGGGTAATTCATAATTTTCCCCCTACAAGTATAAATGTTTTAAAGTGAGGCTGTTACTCTTGCAGACATATGCCACATGAAGGCCTCCATGAGTACATTTTGAATTATTTGGCCTTTAACCAAAAATATTTTCAACATTAAAATGAGCTCAGCAACAACTTCAGCGACAGACTGAAAATCAACCACAGACGATCATGTCACGTTAATTTGACTTGAATTAGTCCACTGCTCGATTCCTCATGATGACTATTAATTAACAAAGTACTGATGACTAGGGATGGGTATCCTTTAGGTTTTATCCGATACCGGTGCCAAACCGGTACTTTTGAAACGGTGCCGGTGCT